CCTCCCGAGTGCTGGGATTAAAGGTGTGCGCCAGCCCAGCCCTGGGCTGGGTTCCTTATACTTCAGGGCTGGGAGATGGCTCAGAGTGAAAGGCACCCTGCCTTGCAAGTTTGAATTCAGATTCTCATCATCCATGGAAAAGTTGCATGGGGCTGTTTCCTCAGCAGTTGAAGCTCTAGAGTTGGGAGGACTTGGGTGAGCTGTTTCCTGGAGCTCCCTGGCCAGGTAGTCTAGCCAATTGATGAGCCAGAGGTTCAGTGAAGAGTAATAGAAGATACCTGATGTGTACCTCTGGGGTCTGCTTGAGCATGTAGGTGCATGGACGGTGAATGCACACGTACAAACCCACCCCCAAAGGCTATGACTTCCAACCCTAGGAGCATGCAGACCTAAAGACCAGGGAGGAAGTCGTTTGTTATGTAAGTCCAGAAAGCATGGGAGGGGTACAGGAAGCGAGGCCAAGCAGGAAGAAGATGAGATACAGGCGCTGTGCAGTACAGAACATGACTCAGAGTTGACCCAGTGAAGAGTGAGGAAGCTGTGGTTGGTGAGCTATTTTTTTTTTTTTTTTTTTTTTTTGGTTTTTACGAGACAGGGTTTCTCTGTATTGTTTCGGAGGCTATCGGTCTAGCCTGGCCCCGAACGCACAAAGATCCGCCTGCCTCTGCCTCCAGAGTGCTGGGATTAAAGGCGTGCGCCACCACCGCCCGGCTTGGTGAGCTATTTTTAAGACCAGTTTTATTGACATATAATTCACATGCTGTCCAGTTCATCCATCTGAAGTATACAATGAAGAAGTTTTGTTGTTGTTTGGCTGTTATCGGTTTTTTTGTTTTGTTTTGTTTTTGTTTTGACAGGAGGCTCTCTCTGTAGCTCAAGTTGGTCTAAACTATGTATCATGGTCTTTAACCCATGATCCTCCTATCTCTGCCTCCTAAATACTGCAACTACAGGTCCAAATCAGCTACCCCCCTTTTCCCTTTGTTGTTGTTGGTTTTTCTTGCAGTTCTGGAAGTTGAAAGCACGCTGTGCTACATCCACAGTGTTTCCTTTAAAAAAAAAAAAAAGATTTACTTGTTTTGGGGCTGGAGAGATGGCTCAGGGTTAAGAGCATTGTCTGTTCTTCCAGAGGTCCTGAGTTCAATTCCCAGCAACCACATGATGGCTCACAATCATATAAACTTAGATCTGGTGTCCTCTTCCGGTCTGCAGACATATATTCAGGAAGAATACTGTATACATAATAAATAAATCTAAAAAAAAACTAAAAAAAAAAGCTTTACTTGTTTTTTATTTGTTGTTTTTTTTGTTTTTTTTCGAGACAGGGTTTCTCTGTGGCTTTGGATGCTGTCCTGGAACTCACTCTGTAGACCAGGCTGGCCTCGAACTCACAGAGATCCGCCTGCCTCTGCCTCCCGAGTGCTGGGATTAAAGGCATGCGCCACCACCGCCCGGCGGTTTACTTGTTTTTATGTGTGGGTGTTCTGACTGCATATGTGTATGTGCACCATGTGCATGCAGTGCCTGTTGAGGCCAGAAGAGGGCACCAGAGCCCCTGAAATGAGTTACTACCACTTGTGAGACCACTGCTCTATGGGTGCTGGGAACTGAACCCCGGTCCTTTGCAAGGGCAGCAAGTGCTCATAACTGCTGAGCCATCTCTCCAGCCCCATTCAGTGGCTTTTAGCATATTCAAAAATGTGTGCATCTGGTGGTTGTGGCAATACAATTTCATAAACAGTCTCCATTTTGGTTGGATGATGACAATCCCCTAAACCAAAGAAACCTGGTTCCCAGAACTAATCCTAGATTCTTGTTGTCCCTATCCTATCAACCCTTGAGTCACCTGACAGTCTTTTTTTTTTTTTTTTTTTTTTTTTTTTGGTTTTTCGAGACAGGGTTTCTCTGTGGCTTTGGAGGCTGTCCTGGAACTCGATTGGTAGTCCAGGCTGGTCTCAAACTCACAGAGATCCGCCTGCCTCTGCCTCCCGAGTGCTGGGATTAAAGGCGTGCGCCACCAACGCCCGGCTCACCTGACAGTCTTTAACCTATTGAAACCCCTATTTCCCAACTACCCTCAGCAACTGGCAAACTGTTGTCATAAAGGAATTTTCAGCTTCCTTCCTTTTCTCCTACTCCAGACTGTAACTGGAAGATGGGGGTGGGGGAAGAGGGGTGGAGTTGGGATTGGTTCTTGAGCTAGAGATGGCCCCCACCACACATGGGTCTTTTTCTGTCTCCCCCAAAAAGCCTACGCTGTCTCTGAGGATGGGGTGTTCACAGTACGAGCTTGAAGCCAGGTTCTCTGGGTCCTGGCAGGGAAGTGAGTGGGGATCAGGATGAGGCACTTTTGGGGTGTAACCTCATCCCCCAGGTGAGATGTCCTGTCACTGTGGCGCCAGCAGTAGGCTTACTCAGGATTCACAATGTTTCAGGAGGACTGCCTAGCTTTGAGTAGAATTAATAATAAAGAGCAGACAGACTTATTTGATGAGCCCACAATAGGCAGAGGGACAAAGAGACGCACAGTCCCCTCCTCTCCAGCCCATCTTCTGGGTCTGAACCTGAAGGGAGGGTTTAAATATAAGGCAAGAGATTTGCATGAATGCATAGCTGAGCAGTCCTACCGTCATCCCAAGCCCATGGTCGTAGCCACCTGTCTCTGGGTAAGATCATCCAGCAAGTGATAAATTCCCACTGCAAGTCCCTCCCCTCAGGGCTCTAAGCTGATTCTCACAAAGGAAAATTCCTGGGGGAATTCTGATTTCTTCTGTACACTGTTTCAATATCCGTAGCCAAAGGGAGAGATACAGGTGTCTTTAGAACATCTTCATTCCTCCCAGACAAGCTGGTTGCAAGTTGTGAATACATGGTGGATTAACCCTTGCTTAGTCAGAAATCTCAGTCATAGCTAAAGATCAGATCTGTCCCTTGGGGCCTTCAGCTCCTAACCACTTCAACTCTTAGGGGACACTTCATATCCAAATCATAACCATTTTTCTTACCCACACATACATACATACAGACACACACACACAGACATAGGTCAGTTCAAGCTACCTGACATGGATACTAGAATCTGAACTCAGGTCCTTTGCAAGAGCACAAATTACATGCTCTTAACCTCTGAGCCATCTCTCCAATCTCAATGTTCGCTGTCTATCTTTGCCAAGTAAAAATGAAAAGGCAGGAAAATGTCTAATCCAGCTGGTAGCAGCAGGGAAAAATCCCATCCCATACACAGCAGCAGAATCAACAGGTGAAAAATACTTTATTAAAGGTGAAGAAGTGAATTATTAGTGCACACACAGAGAGGGAGAGGGGAGAGGGGAGAGGGAGAGAGAGAGAGAGAGAGAGAGAGAGAGAGAGAGAGAGAGAGAGAGAGAGAGAGAGAGAGAGAGAGAGAGAGAGAGATTGCTTCTGCGCTTCAGGGCATGGGAAGACGGGAGGTTAAAGTTAGACCTCTTCTCGAGGGCTGGGGGCTTTAAAGGTCTTGGATGATCTGGAATGCCTCCTCCTTCCTCTAATTTAGGATGGTTAGTTTAGACCAAGAGAGGGAAGCTGATAGACTCACAACTTTGGGTGAACAAAGCCAAGACCTGCCTAAACTGATTAGTTGTTAGGGGACCCGAATAGCAGGACGAAGTGTCCACCAGGCCTTGGTTCCTTGTTTTTTGTTTTATTTGAGGCAGTATTTCTCTGGGTAGCTCTGGCTGTCCTGGAACTCACTCTGTAAACTAGCCTGGCCTTGAACTCAGGGATCTGCCTCCCTCTGCCTCTGGAGTGCTGGGACTAAAGGCGTGTGACACCACCACCCGACTTTCTTGTTTTGAAACAGTATAGACAGGGGCCTGGACCTCACTGTGTAGACCAGGGTGGCCTGGACCTCACTATGTAGACCAGGGTGGTCTGGACCTCGCTGTGTAGACCTGGTTGGCCTGAACCTCGCTGTGTAGACCAGGGTGGCCTGGACCTCGGTGTGTAGACCAGGGTGGCCTGGACCTCGCTGTGTAGACCTGATTGGCCTGAACCTCGCTGTGTAGACCAGCGTGGCCTCTTGCTTTTGTTAGCCCTCTGTCTTCAGTCTCTCACATCCTGGGATAGTGTGAATCGTTGAGCTGTGACAGTTGGTTATTGTGTGTTAAATGGAATATGCAATCCTCGTTCACATGACTACACACACTTAGTGATAAGAGAATGTTACAGCCGTTAGACTTTGGGCGGGGCAAGCGGTTCAAGAGGACACTGAGATGGTGTATGCGGGAATAAGACGTTTACTGTCAAACTTAACACCATGCATGCGTGCGCACACAGAGAGAGACAACAGCCTGGGCAGGGGCTCCTAGGAGTGCCCCCACCCGAGTCGGACAGCACGACTGGGTCTCTGAAGAGAAACAGAGCCCACTTAGTAATAGTGGAAATCTGTTCCTATAAGTGGGGAAGTTTACAGCAAGATGCAGCAGCCAGGCTTGCTGTGACCCACAAATAATGTCTCACCCAGTACCTGTCAGTATCTGGGAGGAGGGCCTAAGCAGACGCTGGATTCCATTCTTACAGTTGTCAGGATCAGTTTAACAAGTGAGGGAGTGGGGGATCAGAACTACTGTCTGCCAACATCCTAAGAATAGTTAATTCTCCAAGATAATAGCATGCCTGGAATCACAGCCCTTGGGAGGCTGAGGCAGGAGAGTTATGAGTGAAAGACCAACCTGGGCTGCATGGTGAGACCCTGTCCAAAACAAAATGATAAATGGGGAGGTTGCTCTGTAGCACTGACCTGATGGTATCTTGCATTTTGAGCCTCCTCCCCGCACCCACAGCAGCTGGGGCAGAACAACACGGAAGGAAGGAAGGGAAGGGGCAGGGGCTGGAGGGATGGCCCAGTGGTTAAGAGCCGAGGACCCAGGGTCAGTTCCCAGTTGCCTACAACTCCAGCTCCAAGGGATCCAATGCTATCTTCAGGCTTCCTCTGGTATCTGCATATTCCCACACACACACACTTAAAAAGAAGTATTTTTATTAGAAAATTCCAGAGTGACAGAAGATGAGGGGTAGATCAAAGGCTCGCTTCAGATAGGCTCAATGGCGGAACTGGAGAGGGTCTGCGGTTAGGTTGTTCTACAGTGCGGTCCTGATACTGACGGCTGTGTCCGCTCCAGGAAGTACCCTGTTTACAGACAACATACACTCAAGTACTCAGTAGCCTGGGCTTCAGGCTCACCCTCAGATGGTTGGGGACAAAAGGCTATTTACATTTGCACTGGCAAAGTGTTCCTGTGATGTGTTTTTCATTAAAGGGGCCATGTGTTCCCAGGTGTCTGGGGATGAAGTGCCCTCCTCGCAGCTGAGCAAAGATGGCCGCCCCTGCTTCATGAGTGAGAGGAATGAGGCCCGGGAGGAATCTGTGGCTCACACAGGCCAAGGGGGCAGAGAGGGCACTCAGAGTGTTTTAATGCTACAATGTGTTCTGCTTTCGATCCTTTCAGGTCATTCAGTTAGGACCGTGGCGGGGACGGAATAGGAGCCAGTTCTCAACCTGGGCTAATGCTGCCTGTCCCGTGGCCAAATGCCAGCCTTAGGGTGATCATCATGGAGCAAGGCAGACAGGAGGGAAACAGTGAGGATAGGAACTGTTGTGAGGCCTCTTGCTCCTCACCCTGGGCCTAGGGACCTTAAGTCACAGTAGGCATGACCTCGTGGAGGTTGTAGCAAGGTATGTGATCTGTGTGCCTTAGTTATCAGGCTTGAACTTGTCTAGTGATGGGATCCAGAAAGGCCTTGGCCTGGGACAGGTGAGCAGCAGTGAACAGGAAACAGGCCTGGTATGGTAGATATCCCCACAGAAACACAGTTCCCTGGCTGGAGAGGGACTCAGCTGGTAAGAGCACTTACCAAGGACCTGAGTTCGGTTCCCAGGCTTGGAGCTGGTGGTTCACAGTTGTTTATAACTCTAGCTCCAGGGGCTCCTGAAGGAGGAAATGAAAGCGATAAACTGATGTTACAAAGGATTTACTAGCCGGGCGTTGGTGGCACACGCCTTTAATCCCAGCACTTGGGAGGCAGAGGTAGGCGGATCTCTGTGAGTTCGAGGCTAGCCTGGTCTACAAGAGCTAGTTCCAGGACAGCCTCCAAAGCCACAGAGAAACCCTGTCTCGAAAAAACAAACAAACAAACAAAAAAAGAACAACAACAAAAAAAAACCAAAGGATTTACTAGTAAGCTTGCATAGAAAATTTTAAGTTACGAAAAGTAAAACTGAGCTAAAGGAGCGTGCCTCTGCCAGGCAGGCAGCTTAGACAAGATCAGTGTGACTGCCTCTAACGGGGAAGAGCATAATTCTGCCAGGTGGGCAGGATGACCCTGGTGACAGCTGCCCGGGGGGGGGGGGGCGACACCCCGGTCTCTCTTGGGATGACTGTGACAATGTTTTACATTATAAATCTCCCCATTTGTCCAATCAGCCAAACTTTGGAATTTCTGTCCCTGTAAAAGATGTTTACTTGCACAAAGTGTAAGGGGACGGTGAAGCAGTGTGCACAGGGGCTTCTGTCTAAGGCTGGTTCCTTTTTGTGCATCACCCAGAAGTTTCCCTTTATTAATCTCTAAGTGCTTGGAGTGATTTCTCACTGGGAAGGCATGTTTTAAAAAAAATCCAGAACCCTTTTCAGGCCCCAGTGGGTACCAGGACATACTTGACAAGCACTCACATAGACATAGACACATAATTAAAAACAAACAAATCTTCAAAATAAGCAAAGAAACCTCAAAGGGAATGAGGGATAGTTTATTCTGGAGCCAGATAGGAGTGAGCATGGCCCATGAACACAAATTCAGGTCACCCCCAGTCTATGTCCCAAATGTGGTAACAGCTTCACAAAGTTTTTATAGACTAGAACAAAGAATCATAAATCAAGACATTTTCCACATACAGTGTTTGAAACATTAAGCGACTGAGTCACAGAAAGGTCAGGGAATCTCAGCCAGGCCTCTCAGGCTGTCTGATGGCACTCTTGGCCTTTTTGTTGGACTGTCTACTTATTCCGAAGGATTCACCTAATGGTCACAAAAAACGATAGGTCACACACAGGGGAAGGCCGTAAGTGGCCATTAAGAGGCAGCCTGAGATAATTAGGCTCCAGACTTGCTGCATTCCATCCTCTCAGCGCCAATGTTCTCGTGGGTTACTCTGCCGTGTAGAAGGCCCAGGAGAAGGTGGAGTGGTTTTTTTTGTTTGTTGTTGTTATTTTTCCCCTAAGGAACTTTGGTTCCTGTAGTGGGAGCCCATGATCCTCTTAGTGCTGGGGAGGCAGAGAGAGGAGGGCCATGGGTTCTAGGCCAGTGAACTACACCTGAGGCTGTTCCCAAATACATAACCATGTCTGCATATGTATTGCAGGAGGAACAAATATCGACTCTTGACGTGTGTGTGTGTGTGTGTGTGTGTGTGTGTGTGTGTGTACACTTGGGAGTGCACATGCCACGGCACATGTATGAAGCTTGTTGTGATACTGAAGCAAGAGCAGCAGTGGTTGAAAGCTGACACGCAGTTCACACTGCCCTTCAGGGTTAGGTTTATTAGAATGAAAAGGTTTCACGGATATGACTCAGCCTCGAAGGGGGAGGAAGATCATTAGACGGAAACAGTACAATATTTGGAGACTCTAAACATAGTAGGGCCTTGAAGGGAAGGTGAGGCTTTGCTTTAAAGCCTAGAGAGAGAGAGTTGGGCATGGCGGCACATGCCTTTAGTCCCAGCATTTGGGAGGCAGAGGCAGGTGAATCTTTGTGAGTTCCAGGCCAGTCTGGTCTACAGAGTGAGTACCAGGCTAGCCAGGGCTACATAGAGAAACCCTGTCTGAAAAAACTAAAAATAATACAAAACAACAATTAAAAAACCTGGACAGGCACATCATTAAAAGTGGCATTAGTGAGCCGTGCATTGGTGGCACATGCCTTTAATCCCAGCACTCAGGAGGCAGGGGTAGGCGGATCTCTGTGAGTTCTAGGCTAGCCTGGTCTACAAAGCAAGTTCCAGGACAGCCTCCACAACAATACAGAGAAACTCTGTCTTGAACCCCCCCCCAAAAAAGTGGCAATAGTTGGAGAGATGGTACTGCCTATGCTTCCAGAGGACCCATACGACAGCTCACAATTGTCTAACTCCAGTTCCAGGGGATCCAACTCCCTCTTCTGAACCCCTCAGGCACCACAACTCAGGTTGTGAGGTTTGTACTGCAAGCACTTTTTCCAACCGAACTGTCTCACTGGCCCTTGACATTCTCTCTCTCTCTCTCTCTCTCTCTCTCTCTCTCTCTCTCTCTCTCTCTCTCTCTCTCTCTCTCTCTCTCTCTCTGTCCCTCTCTCTCTTTTAAGACAGGGTTTCCTGTGCAACTTTAGAGACTGTCCTGGAACTCGCTCTGTAAACCAGGCTGGCCTCCAACTCACAGAGATCCGCCTGCCTCTGCCTCCTGAGTGCTGGGATTAAAGGCGTGTGCCACCAACGCCTGTCCTGACATTATTTTTAACTGAAAAAATGAAAACAAATAAACACACACTAAAAACCAGCCTTGAGCCGGGCGTTGGTGGCGCACGCCTTTAATCCCAGCACTCGGGAGGCAAGGCAGGCAGATCTCTGTGAGTTCGAGGCCAGCCTCCAAAACAGTACAGAGAAACCCTGTCTCGAAAAACCAAAAAAAAAAAAAAAAAAACAGCCTTGTCTCCTAGCAGAGAGGAGCCCTATTCAAGGACTCAGATCATGACCCCCTGAGAGAAGCAGCGGTTGCAAAACTAAGCCAGGCATGGCCCTCGGAATGCACATTGACAGTGCATTCTCCACCCACCCACCCTTCGAGCGGCCTTAAGTCTAAGAGGGGACGGGACAGCACATGGCCTGGCCACATGCCAGTCCTCGAAGATCTGCTCTCTCACTGCGAAGCCTCGCTGGAGAGTCCTCCTGCTCAGACAATGGATGGCATCTGGAACAGGCAGAAGCTGGAGTCCTCCTGGCGTCTTGGGCCCTGTGAGGTGGGGATTCTTTCTCATTACCAGGCTGGGGGGGAGGAGTATGAGAATTCTTCTGAACAAGGGCCTGTTAAAGTGGCCCATGGGTCCCTGTGTTTACGGCGCCTCCAAATAAACACACTTGAGCACTTCCTGTGAAGGCACAGCTGAGAGATTCGGGAGCAGCCTTTGGCCTGTGTGTACATGGTGACTGGGCTCCTATCCTCCCACCTCCGTGTCCTTCATAGTCCCTTCCCACGTCACTCTTCTCTGGGAACGAAGAGGGAAACCTCTGGGCTCTTGGGAGGGAGCCAGAGACAGGTGGATCTCTGTAAGTTTCAGGCCAGCCTGGTCTACAGAGTGAGTTCCAGGACAGGCTCCAAAGCTGCAGAGAAACCCTGTCTCGAAAAAACAAAAACAAACAAAAACAAAAACCTCACTTCCTGCCAGTCGTGGTGGCGCATGCCTTTAATTTCAGCACTAGGGAGGCAGAGGCAGATCTCTGTGACTGAATTCCGCATGAAACCCTGAACTCCTGTCTTATACACCTCTCTAGTGCTGGGATTAAAGGCACGAACCTTGTTTCTCTTTCAGACTGATTCACTCTTGTGTTCCCCTGGATAACCTTGAAGTCACAGAGACCCATCTGCCTCTGTCTCCTGAACCCTGGGATTAAAGATGTGTGCCACCACTGCCCAACTTCTATGACTGTATTGCATTCTGATCGTTCAGGCAAGCTTTATTAGATCATAAATAATTTATCACCACACCCCAGCCCCATGTACCACACCTGACAAGAGTATGGAGACAGATGTGATTTTTATGTTGGCATAATATAAAAACTTAAAAGAGTAACTGAAACCCTAAGGCAGACACCTCGAACCCCCATGGACAAACAAGATCCTCAGGCCTGGTCAGGGGCTGAGGCAGGGGACTGGGGCCTGGAATTTTATCCCAAAGTCTCACCTGTATCGTAACTGTGAACGCTTATGTACGGCAAGATCCCAAAAGGGGCTTCCAGAATGTACATGCAAGAGGTCTGCCTGGGAAGACAAGGTGGAGTCCTATTGCCCTGGGTGAGCAGACGCCAGGAGAGCATTGTGGGTAGCCAGTCAGAGCTTGCCACACGCCCATGCAGTCCCAGCAATGCAAAGATCCTGGTATTTTCTTCTTGCCCTAGTGTGAGGTCCCAAAGGCCCTCCCACTTCAAGTGGGGTTGGGCCTAGTGTACATACTGAGCCCCAAGAGAGGGAAGAGGCTCACTTGCTGTCCCTCCAACTCTGGCGGATACAGTTTTTGTTTTTGTGGTGGATTGGCCAAGGCCAAGAAGTCCCAGTGTCTCCATCTTCAGCAGGGGCAGAGGTCTCCCTGGAGGTTTCCTCAGCTGGAGGTCTCCTCAACTGGCAGCCCCTACCATGTAGTTGTAGAGTCCTCCATTTTTGGGCTTTTCTTTCTGCCCCCATCTGGGACTCTGCCCTTCTAGATCCTACTCAATGCAGCTCCCAAGAAGCCCAGAGTCCCCAACAGCTTCTGGACTCTTCTGGGAGTTTTGAACGGTCCACTGTTTCTCAAGTGTTCAACCTTAAAAGTGGCTTTAAAAAACTTTTAAGGTTTAAGGGCTGGAAACATGGCTCAGCGGTTAAGAGCACTGACTGTTCTACCAGAAGACCCGGGTTCAGTTCCCAGCACCCATGGCTCACAGCTGTCTGTAACTCTAGTTCCTAGGGACCCAACACCCTCACATGTGTGCAGGCAAAACACCATGCATATAAATAACTTTAAGATTTAATTAATTTCAATGTCTATGAGTGTTTACCTTCATGTATGTGTGTGTACCACACATGTGCCTGGTGCATGAGGAGGGCAGAAGAGGATGTCTGATACCCAGGAAATGGAATTACAGGTTGTTGTAAGCCACTGTGTGGGTGCTGGGAACTGGGTTCCGGTCCTCTGCAAGACCAACAAGTCCTCTTAGCCACAGAACCATCTCCTCAGCTTCCCCTGCAAGTTCTCCAGCCCGTGGTCCTGCTTATCTCTCACTATGTTCCTGAGAGACATGCTGGTTTTGCTGTCTTATTAACTAAGAAGTTGGGCCTGGGTGGGAAGGGATTTAACTAAGGCCACATAGCCAGAGTGGTGTGGGATGAGGACTCCCTCCAGGTCTCCTGAAGATCAAGGCCTGTAATCACCATGACGCAGCCCTCCTTTGCCATCCCTCTTGGGGGAAGTGGCTGGATTTTTGGGAGTGCAGCCAGACCTGGAGGCTCAAGAACTACGGATATCTATGGGCCAGGCATGCATCTTTCTGAGGGGTCCCCAACCCTGAGTTGGCTAAGGCCCTCTTGCTCTCTCTTCACCATAGCCTGGTCCAGACCTGACTGGGTGGATCCAGGCAGGGAGGTGCCATGGCTTAGGGACTATCCTGTCACTGCAGCTCCCTGCCCTGCATTTGCTCCACAACACCAGAAAACCAAAGCTTCTGAACTGTCCCAATAAACTGCTGGGCCGTCATTCCCTCCTGTCCCATGCCTCAGTTTCCCCAAGCTCACTGTCTTTGTTTTATCTTCATAAGCATAAGCAGTTAGGGGCCGGCAGGGCAGGAGTATCAGCTTACTGATCAGCCTGAGGAGGTGGGTTCTACTTTGAACCTGAGCCGAGGCAGCTGGCCCTGTAGGTCTCAGGAGGGAATGGAGGGGTATGAACTATGCACTCACTTTAGCTCCAGGGGTCCTGCACATCCTGCCCATGCATCAGGACTTGGCATAAGTGCTGTCCTATAGATCTGGGTTTGGTGTAGCTGGATACCAACCATCCACAAGCTCAGGAAATGGATACACACGGTCACAAAATCCGGAGAGGCTGTCTCTGGACAGAGCAAGTGCCACTGGTTCTGATGGACCATTCTCAAGCTCAGACCCAGGCCAGGGAACTCTGGACAGAGCATGAATGTGGCTGCAGTCATGGAAACAACTGGCCCTCCTTTTCAGGGTTGCCCTATAGCGTGGTGGCTGCAGATATGAGGAAATGGCACAGCCAGCAAAAGGAATCTGGAGTGGTACGAGCTCTCTGTCTTCTGTAAGGCAGGACCATGACACTCCCCGTCCATCCTGGGTTCTGAGCATTTTCAAAAGGCACACAGGGGGCTAGCACGAGCGCGCGCGTATGTGTGTGTGTACCTATGCTTGTGTGCGTGCTACATGTGTGTTTGTGTTCTAGCGATGGGAGCAGAGTCAGACAGACTCCTCACACCCTGTGAGGCCTTGGGGACCTGTTTCTGAGTTGTGCTGAGCCTTGTCACTCATCTGTCTCAGTAGCAACCTTTCTCTTGCAGTCCTTAGTCCTGGTTGGTCCATCTGCAGCCTGGCAGGTGACTTTCAGAATTCTTTCTCCTAGGACTCTGAGGAACAAGTGCCCTGAGTTTCCCACAACCTCTCTCTATGCCAGGACTGTTTACAAATGGAGTTCTTAAGAAGCCAGGCATTGAAGGGGCGGAGTAGAGGGAACACTGGCAGGGATGAGGAGGCATTCGGAGGCTGAAGGAACATTGGAGACAGATGTGTGGATGGTGAGTCTGATACCAGACTAGAGTCTTGTGTGTTCTTTCGGATGAAGAAGTGGACTCCAGTGAGGCTCATGAACAGGACCAGTGTATGAGGAGGTGCTGGCACAAGACAGGGAGATTTCCTTGGAGAGACCAGTGCCTGGAGGCTCCTAATGAGACCGTGTGTATTGGGGACTTGAGTGTGAGAGGGCCACAGAAATGAGATTCTTTGGACTACTGACTTTCAGGGACTGAAGGAGTGTGTATGGAGGTGTGTCTGAACGTCGTGGGGGGGCAGAAAGAATTGATGGACATGAAACAAAGTTACGTCAAAGCCAGCATATTGCAGGTTGGTGGGGACAGCATGTCAGACCCAGGTCCCAAGGTCTTCCTCTCTCAGACTCATTTTTCTCACCTGCAGAATGGGAAAAGAAGACGGGAATGCTCCGGGAAAAGAAGACGCTCTTGGCTTCCGATGAGTAGAACAGCTATTATGGTTTGGATGCAAGTAGAGTCTGGGAGAGGGTTCATAAGTTTTCGGAGCTTCGGGATCAGCATTGTCCCCTAGTGGCGATCTTGCGAACAACAAGCAGAGCCACCGGGCTGGCCCGGAGCGTGGCCGCTGTCAAGTCGCCTGCAGCTCAGCATCTGTCTGTCTGTGTTGGAGCCAGGACGCAGCTAGGACCTCTGGGGCAGAAGGCATGGTAGGTGAGCGGGATGCAGGCCAGAACGCTGTGGTCCGACAGGTGCAACTCTCAGAGTGAGACGCGAGGGAGCACTGTGGGGCACTTGGGGGTCGTGGGGGAGACCTCTCAGCCAACCGGGTTATTTCTGTCATTTTTCTGACCAGGGTCGTCTCGGCGTTGCTGGCTGCCGCTGGTGACCTTTCCTCTAGGCACGAGGCATCTTTATTGAACCTGGGAGGTCACCTGCCCATTCCTAACTCCTCTTTTGGTCAGAGTTTAAAGTAGCCAGAACCTCAGGTGAAGAAGGAGCCAAGAATGTCAGATATTTTGACTGGGAACAATTCAGATGACAGAAAACAGAACCAATTTGGGGCCAAAGTACAGTTTTTAGCCTTTTAACTCCTTCACTTGACCCCTACGGTGGCTTTCTCTCCACACCAAGATCACCACAGCTTTCTGTATGTCAGGTCTGCCCAATGCTTCTTGTGGCCTAAACAGCTGGATCTTCCCCCAGCAGTTGGGAGGTCAGGTCCGCCCCGGGATTTGCTTCAGAGCCCTGGTTGTTCAAGCAATGCCGTAGTTGTGCCCACTCTTTCCAGAGCCACACCGAGTGGCTCTCCTGAAATCCTTGAAAGGTAGATACCCAAAGGAGATGACCAAGCCTGTTCTTGGGAGAACTTTATTCAAAAGTTTCAGAAGATCATGACTTCCCAAGTAAAAGGTCAACCATCATTTAAAAATGATTGTCTGTGTGTGTGTGTTTGTGTGTGTGTGTGTGTGTGTGAGAGAGAGAGAGAGAGAGAGAGAGAGAGAGACAGAGAGAGAGAGACAGAGAGAGAGAGAGAGAGGTTAGTGGAAAACTTGCTGGAGTTGGTTCTTTATTTCTCCTGTGTTCTCTGGGATGAACTCTGGTCATCGGCGTGGGGGCAAGCTCATTTACCTGCTAAGCCATTTCACTACCCCAATTTTATTATCTACTTATTTAATTTTTTTATTTTGTTTTCCTTTTTGAGACAGGGTTTCTCTGTGTAGGTCTGGCTGTCGTGGGACTCACTCTGTAGACCAGGCTGGCCTCAGATTTACAGAGATCCGTTTGCTTCTGCCTCCCGAGTGCTGGGATCAAAGGCGTGCGCCACCACTGCCCGGGGTACTTTATCATTTTCGAGGCTCACACTTTTAGTGCAGTTGTAATGCACTTTAGAGTAGGCAGCAGGTGTTTCTCTTTCTCAGAGACTTGTGAATATCAGCCTGTGCTCTCGGTGTGATGACTCAGGACAGAGCTGGGATTACTTCAATGACCTATGGGCACCTCTCTATTCTACAGACTCCTCCCTGCTTCAATTGTTCCATCTTCCCTGGAGAGCTACCCCCAAATAGTTCAAGGAGCCCCATGTTCTGCAACGGCAGTGAGGTCAGGGGAAACTTTGACCCTGAGGACTTGAATCTGACTGATGAGGCCCTGCGGCTGAAGTACTTGGGGCCACAGCAGACAGAGCTGTTTGTCCCTATCTGTGCCACGTACCTGCTGATCTTTGTGGTGGGCACTGTGGGCAACGGGCTGACCTGCACCGTCATCCTGCACCACAAGGCCATGAACACGCCCACCAACTTCTACCTTCTCAGCCTCGCTGTGTCCGATTTGCTGGTGCTCCTGGTGGGCCTGCCCCTGGAGCTTTATGAGATGCGACACAATTACCCGTTCCAGCTGGGTGCAAGTGGCTGCTACTTCCGAACACTGCTCTTTGAGACCGTCTGCCTAGCTTCAGTGCTCAATGTTACAGCCCTGAGTGTGGAGCGCTATGTGGCCGTGGTGCACCCACTCCAAGCCAAGTCCCTGATGACGCGGGCCCACGTGCGCCGCATGTTGGGGGCCATCTGGGTCCTCGCTGTGCTTTTCTCTCTGCCCAACACCAGCCTACACGGCCTCCAGCAGCTGTATGTGCCCTGTCGGGGACTGGTGCCTGACTCAGCTGTGTGTACGCTGGTGCGTCCCCGAGTCTTCTACAACGTGGTGGTACAGACCACTACCCTGCTCTTCTTCTGCCTGCCCATGGCCACCATCAGTGTGCTGTACCTGCTCATTGGGCTGCGGCTGCGGAGGGAGAGGCTGCTGCTTCAAGAGGAGGTCGGGGGCAGGAACACTGCAGCGACCCGGAAGACCTGCAGCAGAAGACTTCAGCTCCAAGACAGGGGACGGAGACAGGTGACCAAGATGCTATGTAAGTGTCGTTGTTAACGAAGGAGCTGAGCCTCCTTGGGTCTGGGGAAGGAGTTGAGCTTCTGGCTTTTTGAAAGTTTGTCTTGGGTCCACTGTGCTTTTTCCCAGACTCCGCCCCCAGACAGGGTTTCCCTGTATAGCCCCTGGCTGTCCTGGGACTTGCTTTGCGACCAGTTTGGCCTGGAACTCCGAGACTCTCCTGCCTCTGGCTCCCGAGTGCTGGGATTAAAGGCGTGTGCCACCGTTGCTGGGCGATCCTGTTCACTTTTGTTTTTCTGTACACTTCAAGGATGGGAGGACAGTGAGTCAGAGGCGCAAACACTAAGCGTGATGCCGATCAGGACAGGCCTGTCTTCTCTGTCCTTGCAGTTGCGCTGGTTGTGGTGTTTGGCATCTGCTGGGCTCCATTCCATGCTGACCGCCTCATGTGGAGCTTGGTGTCCCACTGGACCGAGGGCCTGGTCCTGGCCTTCCAATTTGTGCACGTTGTATCTGGTGTCTTCTTCTACCTCGGCTCGGCCGCCAACCCGGTGCTCTACAGTCTCATGTCCAGTCGCTTCCGCGAGACCTTCCGGCAAGCCCTGGGCCTGGGAACCCAATGCCGTCGCCGTCACCAAAGCTATCATGGCTCCCATAACCTCAGCAGATTGACCACAGGCAGCACCCTGTGTGACTTGGGCTCCCGGAACAGCAGGGCTGGACCCCTGGCTGAGAATAGGGATCCAGGATTTCAGCAAGAAACAAACCCGTCCTGAGTAAAATCTGAAAGGAGGCTCACCCCCTGGACCAGAAGGCCCCAGGCAGTCTGGGGAGCTACTGGGATCAGTACCCTGGTGACTTTCACCCTGCCCACGTGTTTGAGTGTTGAGGGAAACAGCAAGAAAAAGAGGATTGAACCCCGATTGTCAAAGACTGGCATTGAAGGCCTGGAAAGCTGACTCAGCAGTTAATGCTTGCTGCTTCCAGAGGACCAGAGTTCAGGTCCCAGCACCCGCATGTCAGCTCACAACTGCCTGTAACTGCAGTTCTAGCTCATCTGACACTCTCTCATGACTTCTGAAGGCACCCACGTGTTCATAACACACACTCATTAGAAAACAAGGCACCCACGTGTTCATAACACATACTCATTAAAAAAAAAACTTTAAAAGAAGACCCACACTGAGCCAGGCACATGCTGTACACACCTCCAGACCCCAGACCCCCAGCTAAATTCCCCCACCCCCAGAGCCATTACAGTCACCTAGGCCTCGGCAATTATCCCTTTTTCGTCTCAACTGCGTATATGTTTCCACGGGGGCCTAGTGTCATTCTGGTGACTTCTGAAGTTCCATAGGTTCTGACCTGTAGAACTGGCTTCCTGGCTTCTTAGTCTACACTGAAATCTGAGCCTGCTAGAGCTGGCAGGTGACAGAGGTTCCCAGGGACCCCAGGGACCTGGATCTAGCCTCAACCTTTGTCACCAGCTTGTTCCCTTGTGGCATCTAGCAAATCACCCCTCCTTTCTAGGTTTTGGTTCCTTGTTTGCAAAATGATGGGGCCCTGACATGCCAGAATCACCCTTCGGTGCTACCTGCGTTTTCATCTGTGTGCACAAAAACCAACCAATAGATGGCTTCACATTATCTGTATCACTCCCAAACCCTGCTTTCCTCTGACATCCGCAGGCCCCTGCTCCAAGCTGCCTAGGGCAGATCCTTTGCTTGTCTTGGCGTGGAGAGGGCCAACCTGTGAACAGTGCAGTCCCCCTGCCTATTGCCTTTCTCACCTGCTGACAGGCTGACCTGGCAGCCCCAGATGAACCAGATGCTGTCAGCCAGGGGATCTCTGGAGGAAGAAACATGGGCTAACCAAGGACCAGAAGCAGCCATGCAGAGACAGTGTGTGGGTTAGTCTTTATCTACTTGGCACAAACTAATGTCACCTGGGGAGAGGGACTATCAGTTGAGGAAGTACATCCATCAGACTGGCCCGTGGATATGTCTGCGGGACATTTTCATGACTAGTGACTGATGTGGCAGGGCCCAGACCACTGCGGGTAGTGCCACTCCCGGGCAGGTGGTCCTAGGTTGTCTAAAAAGAAGCTGAGCAAGCTTTCGGGGAGCAAGCCAGTAAGCCCAGTTCCCCATGGCCTCTGCTCCAGTTCCTGCGTTGGTTCCCCGTGATGGTGGACAGTACGCCGAAATAAACCCTTTCCTCCCCAAGTTGGCTCTGGTTAGTGTTTTATCACAGCAACGAAATGCAAATGAAGACATGCAGCTCTGCTAAACGGGCTAGGTGGTCAGAGACAATACTTGAAATCTCATGCCATTCTGAAACCAGGGACAGCCTGGTGCTCAGGAGGGACCCCGTTAATAGATGAAATGTGTTCCCCTACAAGTTGCTGGGTCCTGTCCTTCTAGACCTGGTATCCACAGCTAGGGGATGGACAGCACAGTGACCCTGTAGACAACCTGCCGACTGGTGCCCTAGGGTCCCAGCCTGTCCAGCGAAGAGATTGTATAGGGTTGTTCCAGGAGTCTGTCTTACATCACTGTGACACACACTGACAGAGACACCTGAGAGGTGGGAGGAAGTTGGGCATGGTGACTCATAGCTATAATCTCAGTACTTTGGAAGTGATGATAGGAAGATCTCGAGTTTGAAGCTAGCCTGGGCTATACAATGAGAGTACCCACCAAAAAAAAAAAAAGATTTCTTTTGGCTGGGGGTTCAGTCTATGGTCAGCTGACTCCATTATTTCTACCTGTGGTGAGAGAGAAGGGCATGCATGGTGAGGCTAAGTTTCTTATCTCATGGTAGCCAGGAAGCAGTAAAACACTGCAGGAAAAAAAATACATCATTTTGGGTTTTTTTTTCTCCCAGGGCATACCCCCTGTGACCTACTTCCTGTAACTTAGCCTTCCCTCTAGAAGTTTCCGTCACTGTCCAGTAATACCATGAAATTATGAATCCATCATAGAGAACTTATGACCCAATCACTTTCTCAAAACTCCACTTCCCAACATAGCTGCACTGGGAACCAAGCCTTCAACACAAGCTTGGGGGGGGGTTATAATATTCAAATCTTAACGGTTACAGATCTGTTGTTTACTCAATTATACAAATAATAAACACTTGCTGGGCAGTGGTGGGTGGCACACGCCTTTAATCCCAGCACTTGGGAGGTAGAGGCAGGCAAATCTCTGAGTTCAAGGCCAGCCTGGTCTACACAGCAAGTTCCAGGACATCCAGAGCTACACAGAGAAACCCTGTCTCGAAGAACCAAAAAACAAACAAACAAACAAATAATAAACATTCACTATAGAAAATGTGGAAATGCAAATAAGCAAATGTAGAAGAAAAAAGTAGGGGGATACTTGCTTTGTGAGCATGGAATCCAACTCAGTCCTCAGGACCCGTGGAACAATGCCTGGTGTCACAGTCATCTGTGATAGGTGGCATTACTGAGGATGGCATTTGAGGAGAGCTTTTGCAAACACACATGCACAGGCACAGAGACTCACACACACTCACACACACACACACACACACACATACTTGAGACAGGGTTTCTCTGTGTAGCCTTGGCTGCCTTGTAATTCACTTTGTAGAACAGACTGGCCTTGAACTTGCAGAGATCTGCCTTTCTCTGCCCCTGAGTGCTGGGATTAAAGCTGTATGCCCAGCACATGTATACATTTTTGAGAGCACTTTCACCAGGTTCTGTAGGAAGGAGGAATAGGAACTTGAGTACAGAATTTCTGTTTTTTTTTTTTTAGATGAAAAGCTCTGGAGGTTGACTGAACAATTATTATCTTTAATAATACTTATATTCGTTACTTTTCCCTGTTTCTGTGACCAAACAGCTGTTAGAGGCAATATAAGGAAAGAGGCTCTTGATTTAAGTGGGGGATGGCAGAGTTCACGGTGGATGGTGGGGGTGGCAGGGTTCACGGTGGATGGTGGGGGGGATGGCAGAGTTCACAGTGGATGGTGGTGGGGATGGCAGGGTTCACGGTGGATGGTGGGGGGTGGCAGAGTTTACGGTGGATGGTGAGGATGGCAGAGTTTACGGTGGATGGTGGGGGGTGGCAGAGTTCACGGTGATGGGAGTGTGCAGCCACAGCTCCTTGAACCTGGGCAGACAGGACGCAGAAGGGTGGAAAGGCTGAGGCTCGGTTGACCTTTCTCCTTTTTTATTCAGTCCAGTACTCCCTCCCATGGGGATGGTGCTGCCCATATTCAGAGTGGGTCATCCCTCTCATATACTCCAGAGATGCCCAGAAGAATGTCTCCCAGGTGATTCCAAATCCAGTCAAACTGACAATGAAAATGAACTGTCACAATACTGAACCATCCATTTAAATGGTTAAGATGGTAAACTTCTTGTGTATATTTTACCACAATTTTTTCCGTGTCTTTGCTCTACTGTATATATTTTGTCATATTCCCTTCTAAGAGTGTTTTATCTGGCTGTTCTCAACAACTATAAACAAGTCTGTCCTGCTTTTTCCGTAGAAGATGACGGACTATCCAAAGTCGAGGTTGCAACTCATTTGACCCATGGGCTCCACTGTGTCGGGCCTTGGCCAGCCTGAGAAAGCCCTCTGAGTCTCGTATAAGCTACGGTGTGGAGAAGTTCCCAGATGCTGGCCCAAGAAGGCCCCACTCCCTCCTGTCCTCTGAGTTTGGAAGAACTGACCAAACCCAGGAAAGAAAAGTCACTCTTTCTGTTGGAGCTGTCGCCGCACAGATTCTGGCTAACCAAAGACAGGATGCATAGGGGCCAGGGACAGGTAGCAGGGGCTGGGGTGGGTGTGGAGGGGGTACACTGAAGGCAGTAGGAGAAATAGACCTCAAGGAGGACCATGGAGCTGAGAGAGGAGCTGGATGTTGAAAGGGACTTTCCTCAGTGGGTGATCCTGGATATGTGGTGACAGGGCACACGCAGCCTCAGCTCCCACACAGACTTGGATTGTGGAGGGAGGACCAGGTCAACAACTGGACGGACAGGAGGGATTCTGTGAACCAAGTAGCCTGTGATAAGATGATATTTAGAGCTGAGTGCAAAAGGGCCACCTCTGTCACAAGCACTAGGGAGCCTGTGGGTAGACGTTAAAACTTCCTAGAAAGCCAGGCAGTGGTGGCACACACCTTTAATCCCAGGACTCAGAAGGCAAAGGCAGGAGGATCTCTGTGAGTTCCAGGCCAGCTAGGGCTACACAGAGAAACCCTGTCTCAAAAAACAAATAAAACAACAACAACAACAACAAAACTTGTTCCCAGGGACCAACTCTGGACCCCCAGTGAGTGTGTGTGTGTGTGTGTGTGTGTGTGTGTGTGTGTGTGTGTGTGTGTAGTGCTGGTCCATGTGGAGAAGCACAGGGCAGATAAAAAGATGAGGAATAACTTGCTATGTCTACTGAGGGTATCCACAGGCCATCAGTGGCCATTTCATAGGCCACCGGTGGCCCTGGAAAATGGAACAACAGCTGAGCTCAGTTCTTGAGAATAAGGGCTAGGATGCAGAAGACAGCAGCAGTCCCTACCTAGGACACTCACAGGGGAAGGTAGAGGCATCATCCCTGTATTCCTTCTAGAAGGCTCCTCTGCTACTCCTGTGTATTGTTGGGATAGGGACTTTGAGCCCTGTGGACCCCAGTGCCACTCTTAGGCTAGGAGTCAACTCTTCTGAAAGTATAGGACTTATTTGGTGTGTGTGCTGTCATCATGTCCCTTTCTCATAGAATTTGGTCCATCTGCACGCCACTCCTGCATTACCATAAATGACAACAAAGTCCATGAAGATGACCTCACTGCCTCCAAGCACTTCTGCTCTGCAGATCTCTCCTCTACTTGACCTTCTGGCCTGTGCTCCCCCCCCCTTAATTGTCTTGTAAGTTAGGTAAATGTTTAGTGGGTACCAAATCTAAAATGTAGACAGGCTCTGCAGTTACAGTGCTCACTGTTCGGAGTTCAGACCACGGAAATGCCACGTGTGTGTGGTGGCTAGACTGGAATTCCAGCTTCAGAAGGGGCAGATAAGGGACCCCAGAGTAAGCTGACTAGAAACATTAGTCATATTTTTTAGTTCTGGTAATGGGAGATGTCCTTCTGTATGCTGTGAATATATGTTTCTCTTATTGGTTGATGAATAAAGCTGTTTCCGCCAAGGGACAGGCAGGATTAGCCAGGTGGGAAATCCAAACAGGGATAGAGAAAGGTAGTAGGCTGAGTCAGGGAGACCCCATGTGTCTACCAAGGAAGCAAGAGACCCAGGCATCGCGGGTAAGCCAAGACTATGTGGAGATACACAGATTAATAGAAATGGGTTAATAATTAAGAGAGAGCTAGCCAATAAGAAGCCTAAGCCATCAGCCAAACAGTTTATAATTAATATAAGCCTGTGTTTGTTTATTTGGGACTAAAGGGCTGCAGGACCAGGCAGGACAGAAACTTCCATCTATACACCTTTATTGACCCTGCCTCAATAAAGAAGATGGAAGAGGAATGGAAGCAGAAATGATGGAAGATGGATCCAGGATAACTCCTGATATCAGCCCTGGGCCTCTAGTGCACATACATGCCCCACATTTGTAAACAGATGTATACACACATGCACATTACATACACTAAAAAAAGGGGCAGTCCAGGCCTCCTCACCTAGGTACAGTTTTCCTCACCACACACACACACACACACACACACACACACACACACACACACACACACACACACACGCTCAAACACACACTCCCTAAGTTGAAATGTGAGGCTATGTCTAGGTATGTTCTTGATTTTGAGATGAGACCTCTTGCTGTACCTCAGGCTGGCCTCAAACTCTCACTGAAGCCAAGGATGACGATGAACTCCAGATCTGGTTTCCACCTCTTCAGCACCACCACACCTGGCTTATTTCTGGGGTTTTCATCCAGCTTTAGGTTTCTATCAAAGCTTATCAAGGATGGTGTAATTTTAAAGTAACAAGGCAGTAATGGTAAGACCCGAGGGTACAACCCTAGATGAGTTCCTTGCTGCTAAATTTCCTTATTCTTAAAACTGTTAACAAAGAAGCCTGGTGTAGTGTGCATACTTTAAGCCCAGCACTTGGGAGGCAGGGTCATGATAATCTCTGTGAGTTTGATGCCAGCCTGGTCTACAGAGAGAATTTCAGGACAGCCAGACTACATCTCGAAAACAAACGAAAAACAAAGCCAAAACA